AGTTGAACATTTTTTTTCTTCCCAAGAATTATTTTATTATTTTTTTCCGTACCCCTACAACGTATTAAAGGGTTTATCCGTCATTTTCTTTACACTCTGTATACCGGGTGTATCTGAGAATAGGCGCACCAGTGTAACTTTTTTATTTATAAAGATAGATACATGAAATTTAGCATGGTTAATTAGTATATAAAATGCCACTTATAAGAGTACAAAATGAATTTTTTTGACTTCCGGTTTCGCCGGAAATAATATCAACTTTCGATTTTTAAATGGAACGCCCTATATATTTTAACATATTTAGAATCCTGATTAAATTCTGAGTCTAACAGTATCCTCAAATTGACCTTTCGACATTTCGTCATCAGAAAATGAGTACTTTGAGAAAAACGAATTTTGACAAGTTTAGACTGCTGGGAATAGCCGAATAACAACTTTCTAAGGCAAGTCCTATTTTTCAGGCATTGTGTGGATCCATTAGAAGAAAATAAGATAGTTCAAAGCACTCTAGATTGATCTTTATGATGATACATTTTCTGATGACGAAACGTCAAAAGGTCCATTTGAGGATGCTGTCTGACTCGGAATTTCCTCAGAATTACATATATGTAAAAATAAATAGGGCATTCCATTTAAAAATCGAAAGTTGGTATCATTTCTGGCGAAACCGGAATTCATTTTGTACTCTAATAAGTGGTATTTTATATCATAATTAACCATGCAAAATTTCATGTGTCCATCTTTATAAATAAAAAAGTTACAGGGGTGCGCCTATTCTTAGATACACCCGGTATATATACAGGGTGTCTGAGACACCGTGTCTCGAAAATGGCTCACTAGCTGTCGAGTAGTTTTAAGTTGATAAGCAACCAAAAATAGCTTAATGAAAGATAATTGCAATAATTTCGGTCAGATATCTTTACGTACGAACCTAAATGAAGTTAGTCGCTTAAATGAACTATTTTAATTCGTACAAATTAGTTTATATGACAATTGCGTGTGATCTTAATTAACTAATTAATTACCTAATTGTTTTGTTAACTTACCTAAAAGATACCGCAAAAAAATATTTTGTAAAACACAGGTACTAAAAACAATAAAAGTTAAATGAAATCTATATTTGTAGAAGAATTAAGTAAATCTGCACATTTGTTTATGTATCAAAAGATAAAATTATTAAATATTTCGTATTTTTATTGTTTGAGTATATTATGGTAAATATTTACATTTTTGAAATATTAAAAAAAATGGCGAAAGTGTCGGGATTATTGTTATAATTCGTTAAATTCAAAGTAAATATTTAATAAAATCCCGCATTTGTCATGTTTGCGTTAATAAAAATAATATGTACTAAAATACATTTTTTTAATTTAATAATACAAAGTTATGTGATCACCTTACAAACACTTGTAATGTTGGTTGTCTGCTGCATGGCGTGACAAAAACTTATTTTAATACGTACATTGTACACTTTACCTCTTGATTTAAGAAATCCCCATAAGAAATAACGGAGTGGGGTGAGATCTGGAGATCTCGCTGGCCACTCTATAGGTCCTCGTACGGACAGCATAATAATAATAATATTTATTGTCATCAACGGAATAGAAATAATAATAATAATAATAATAATATTTATTGTCATCAACGGAATAGAAAAAAATAACAATAGAAATACAGTATTATGGACAAATTTACATAGCTATATCACAATTTAAAAAGTCTTTTACACTGTACAAGCACAGATTGACTAGCATGGATTTAACAGTATTTTCAAATTGATCACAGTTATAGAGTTTTATTTGCTGAGGTAGACAATTGTACAGTTTTGGTCCCCAGTAGTCTATATATGTTTAGGTTACATTCACTGTTCAAAATTTCATGACCATTTTAACACCAAATTAACACCATACATGGTCTATATCGATACAAACCAAAATGGTGTTAAATATGGTTCGTTGGTCCAGTGTAAATTCAAATACTTAAATAGTTTAAATTTAACTTTCACACAGTATTAAAATAAATTTTACCTGGTGTAAATTGAACTCCTTTTCTGTGTTAAATATTATGTGTCTTTGGTCAAATTAAATAATACTACACAGAAAAAAAAGGAAACAGGAAGTTCCTTGACGCATTACTACTATATTACCAATGGTATTATTCCAGAAAATTGAACCTTCACCTCGCTAGAGATGATTTTAGTGCGTTCCAATTTAAAATACTTCAAGTATTGACAGCTGTTTTCACCAATTTAAGGTCTGTTTAGTATCGAACAACTTGTAGTGAAACTCCAAAGCAAAGGACTACCTGAGATTATATACTCTTCATGTAAGTCAACAGCAGTGGCGGCTGGTGGATTTTAAGTATACCAATATCTCAGTTATTAGACATGGGACCCACACCAAATTTATAATAGTTTATATTGACATTAAATAAACAAGTTCGGCGCAAACAGAATTTAAATTGAAGTTTGCGAAAAAAAGTTAGTTTTTCCTGTCGCCTACCCTGCCTCCAGGCCCCCCTATTTGAGATAATTCAAATTAAAGTGGTGCAATTTATTATCTACTATAATTTATCGACAAATTTAAAATTTTATTAAAAAAATCCAAATATTACAGATTTTATTCGATTTTAAATTTTTATTATTTATTTTATTAAAATAAAAAAATATTTAAAATGGTATAAAAACTGTAATATTTGGATTTTTTAAATAAAATTTTAAATTTGTCGATAAATTATAGTAGATAATAAATTGCACCACTTTAATTTGAATTATCTCAAATAGGGGGGCCTGGAGGCAGGGTAGGCGACAGGAAAAACTAACTTTTTTTCGCAAACTTCAATTTAAATTCTGTTTGCGCCGAACTTGTTTATTTAATGTCAATATAAACTATTATAAATTTGGTGTGGGTCCCATGTCTAATAACTGAGATATTGGTATACTTAAAATCCACCAGCCGCCACTGGTCAACAGAGGCGAGATTTAAGAACATCACGTGATCCGCACCGCCTTTGCCGCGATCGGTACATACTATGCAACAAGGAATGCACGGCAAATTGTTTTTATCGTTTTAACAGAGTGCTTTAGGTTGAAGTAACTCTTATTAAAATTTTTACAAACAACATATTTAGTAAACTGAACCATACAGGTTGAAGTAACTCTTATTAAAATTTTTACAAACAACATATTTAGTAAACTGAACCATACAGTGGGTTGGTTTCACTAAATTTGTCTGGGTTAATTTAACCAATTTTAAAAAAAATAAAATAAATATCTGGTTTAGTACCGTCAAATTAATCTTTGTTTATATTAACCTTCCCACAGTTGATTTAAATAAATACTTATGGGTCAACTAAATTAATATAGTTAAATGAACTATTCCTTTTTTTCTGTGTAGGTGCACTTCTCAAATATTTTTAGATAAACACCGTCTTGGTGTTTGCTGTATATATATATTTTCAACCATAATTCATGGTGTTTATATTAACACCACTTGGTGTTGGATTTAGACACCATTTTAAGATTGCTTTTTACACCACAGATATTTTAAACAGTGTTTAGCCGATGATATGGAATTTGAAAATTGTTTGTGTTTCTTGTGTTGTAGCTGTGAAACTCTCCTTTTATTAAAAATAAATTTTTGTTTAAATGTACGTATTTTAAAATACACAAAACAAACAAATTATGAACGGTAAGTATACTCTCTCTAATAAAATATTGTTTACAGCTTTCAGTCCTCTTGAGAGAGCACAAAGTTCTTATGGCCTTTTTTTGCAGTTTGAATATTCTGCCACAGTCCCTTGAAGTTCCCCAGAGCAGAATACCATATGATATTTGGTTGTGGAAACTTGCAAAATATGTAATTCTAGCACTTGTTTTCACTCTTCTGATGACATTTATTGCAGAACTGAGTTGTTTGCAAGGTTTTCAATTTGTTTGGCCCAGTTCAGTCTGTTGTCAACCCATAGTCCAAGAAACTTTATTGACATGCATGGAACTTCTGTTTTATTTGAAAATTTAAGGTACTGCGTTTTGTATTAAACCACTGTTGTATGTTTCCAATATAATTTCAGTTTTCTGACAGATGTTTTTTCTGTGGAGTCATCTGCATATAGACATGTATTTGTAGCTTTTACGCACCAGCTTAGATTATTGGTGTAGGTGATAAATAGCACAGGACCTAGCACAGATCCTTGTGGTACTCCTGTGTTTAAGTTTAAACAAGATGAATACTTTTCTTTACATTTTACCATTTGTGTTCGATTTTTAAGGTAAGACTGTAGTATGTATGTATGTATAATAAGTAATGCAGTTGTTGTGGACTTATTTTTTCTATATCCATGCTGTTTTCTGTTTTCAGTAGATTTTTCTTAAAAAACTCCATAAGTCTATTTTTTATTACTATTTCAAGTATTTTTGACATACTGGGTAAGACAGATATACTGCCCTACTATGGAGAAAGGCAGTAACTGCTAAACAAGAAATTAGTGTAAAATTAGCATACACTACATTTTTATAAAAAGCAGTAGGTATTTAATTGATTTTTTTAACTTATGAGATATTTGACTGCATTTCTGTGTTGAATTCGGTTACAAAATGTCCATAACTTTACCATAGCACAAGAAAACGCATTTTGTATTTTTTTGCAGTTACTGCCTTTCTCCATAGTAGGGCAGTATAGGTCTATAGCTTCCACATTCATTTAGGTCTCTCTTTATATAAATTGGAAAAACTGCTCTTTTCAGCTTTTCTGGAAATGTACCTTCCAGTAGATATTTACTATACACTATTTCAATGGGAGTGATTATAGCGAACAGAATATTTTTCAGAAATGCCGTAGAAATACCATATATGTCTTTTGTGTCTTTGTTTTTTAGTTCACGTACAATTAATATGATTTCATTCAGTAGGTAATACTCGGACGGCCAGGTTTTGGAATATCTTTGACATGTCCAGTCTTTCTGAATTTCCGTAAAAGTTTTTACATCTAGTAGACTACTAGTAGTAGTGAATATTTGTTTTAAATTAAATGCTAGAAAAGAAACATAAAAGGTCGAAAAATAAAAATATCAACATTTTAATCAAAATATCTATTTTCCTCAAGCTCCTTTAAAACATACGAACTATTAAACTGCAAGGCGCTCTTATTTTTTTTACCGTAAATACCCACTTGGTGTACACTCACCCAGGTGTTATCTGCGCACAAAATTTTCAGTTGTTTTATTTTTTTATCGTAAAAAACAAAACCTGGTCTTAAATTGTCCATGTTTCCGTAGAATGTAGTTACTCTAAATCCGTATAATTTTACTCTTATCCCTTTCCAAATGGTGTAAGGTGTAAAATATTCCATTATAGATCTTTCCAAATTGTATATTTCTTTCGCGGTGTGTGTAGCCCAATTAATAAGTGCGAAATTTTCGGTAATTTTTGGGGCTAAAATTAGGAAAATATAAAGAGTCACCTAACTTATTCATTAAAGGTTTATGGAGAACGAAAAAATATGTCTACCCTGATAAACCTTCCAGTGAGAATATTCTTAGGATCATGCTATATTTCTTCTAAAGAACATGCTTAAAAGACTTATAGCATGATCCTAAGAATATTCTTACTGGCCTATAGGCAGGTTCTTAGAAGGTGCAAAGTTTTATTGGTAAAAATTAGTCTACTCTTAACATATGTTAAGAAAGTAATTGCTATTGAAGGGTATATACCTATACTTAAGTACTTGAGTAATTAGTATTAAATACTAAGTAAAAAACACAATCCAAAATATTTTTTATAGTTATTTGTCAAATTAAACCAATATTCGAAAACAAAAATACTTTTACTATAGGTATTTTATTTTATGTTAAAAATAAATATTTATAAATTTGTATACCGATTTTTTATTTCTGAATTAACATTTTTATGTATAATAATCCTAACTAATCTTCAACTTCAATCTAATCTGACTTATCCCACAAAATATTGCAATTTTTCTTTTTATGAAATAATGTCATAAAACTTATGGTTTAGAGGTCAAATTGTTTATTTAATATTTTTAAATAAATATATATTAATATGTCGCAAAATTTAAGGGGACAAGAAATAAACTAATCGAATAAAGTTAAGCATATTAAGATATTTTGACCAAAACATAAATTTAACGATACAATTTTATACGCCCTGTATACTTTATTTTAATATTTGGTAATAAAAACGTAAAAATGAAAGAATCTTAGACAAAAAAGAACGAAGTCGAAAAAACGCATTTTAGGTATCAGTCGGTATCCAGTTTGATTTCAACTTTGTTCAAAAATATGCTTAACTTTTTTCTATCAGTTTACATTTATCTGTCATATTATGACAGTGAGGCGTATTTGTCTCTATGACAGTGAGGCGTATTTGTCTCCTGAAGAATTTTACGAATGTAGTATACAACATTAGAACGTGGGTATCTGACATATTTGGAAATATTCTCAAAAGCTTCCTAAAAGCTCCATAAGAAACCTTCTAAGAATGATGCTTTTTAGGAAGGTTTTAAGAAGCTTTTAAGAATCTAATTGCATCATTAAAAGGGTATGTATTGAATGTTTTAAAAGTCCCTAAGAACATTCTTAGCAATAAGGGAAGGTTCTAAGAATATTCCATTATTCCGGGTCAGATCTTCTTAGAAGGGTATTTTAAGTTTGTATAGCAATTATAAGGCAATTTAAACTATTCTTTTAAATTATTTTCCATCTGCGAAAATTTTTGAAAAAAATTAAATATATCTCAAAAACTGTTAAAAACAAAAAAAAATAATCAAATTTTATTATTTCCAGAATTTTACGTAGAATTTAAAAATGCAATATTATTTACATGGTTCCATTTGAAAAACCAAATTTTTTGTTGTGGACTATTCTTACCTAACAATATTCCTGTATTGGGCTGCGGTCTGGCCATTTTTAAATTATTTTCCAAATCGCTTAAAACATGAATTATTTTTTGAGCTCCTATATGCGACATTTTTTCACTCAATTCTACAATATTGACGTGTTCGTCTATCGGTACTGCCTCTTGCAGTATTATGTCCCCTTCGTCGAACTTTTTAGATTTAATTTTCATAATAGTCATGCCTGCTTCTTTGTCTCCATTTGCCAGGGTGTAAAAGAGTGGGGATGCCCCCCTCCACCGTGGAAGGAGGCTCGGATGGGCATTTAAAATGCCACTGAAATAAAAAATATATGGAAACTTTTTGCAAGTAAAAACTAAAAAACTTTCGTTTAGTACTCGATTTCGATTTATTATTCCTTTTATCATTGATTAAGAAACTCATTAAGAAACTCAACGCTTATATGCTTATATAGTTACCTTAGTATGTGTATCATGGTTAGGGTTGGGACAGTTGAAATTTTCAAATGAAAATTTCAACTTTGAAAGTTTCAAACTTGAAATATTTCATTTAGTTGGAAAAGTGAAATTTTCAATCCGAAAATTTCAACATTGCCTGTGAAAGTTTCAGAAATTTCATTGAAAGTTTCGCAATTTACTAAAAATTTCGCATAAATTTCACATGCGGCCTCCCCTGGGACCTTTAATAATAATTTACAAAAGAATCCGAATCGACCAATAAGAACGAGTTATCAAGCGTCTGGGCGTTTTTATTTAGTTCGGCTTGAATTTGAATACACTATAAGTAATTATTGTTACTTATATGCATAAATTAATTTAAATAATTTAATTCAGTTACCAATTTAATTTGTAAATTAAATCAGACTTTAAATTTTTTTTAAAAGTCATGATTAATTTAAACTTTTACTTTTGCTATAATTGCATCGGAAAACGGATAAAAAATGCCTTTGGCTCATAAAATTTTGTTGAAGTTTCTTATATTTTCGTAAAATTTCATTAAAAATATAAAAATAATAAATATATATATATAAATATAAAACAATGAAAGTGGCACAATCTCATTAGCTTACCAAAAAGTGCTATATCTCTTTTAGTTTTAGTAATTTTAAATATATTTTAAAAGGAAATCTCAAGAAATTTGTGGTAAACATAGGTATTTACTATTTAAATTATTGGTGCAGGGGCCCACAAAGGGGTAGGAGGTAAGAGAGGCAATTTGCCATGGTCCCCGAGTGGGCTTATTTCAATATTAATATACACTGTATTACACTTAAAGTGATTGAAATTTATTATACCTAATATAATTTTCAATAAATTTCATAAATTTCATGAAATTTCAGAAATTTAGGAAATTTTAATAAATTTCATAAATGTCATGAAAATTTCAAGTAAAATTTCAAATACAAGTGTTTTGATCTTTCATAATTAATTAGGTATTCCAGCTCAGGTTCCAGATTTTTAACCGCAATTAATTATTTTTACAATGTTTTTAAAGTCTAAAACCTATCCTCCGTGACTGTTACTCTTTCTAGGTTAATCTATATGTTTTCAAATATCTGAGGTAGTACAAGCATACCAAAATATCAGTTCACTAAGTAAATTAAACACATCCAAAGCAATCGAATCAAATATAAAATATTATTAAAAATTAAAAGAAATAATTTTTATAACCATTTATGTAGGTGAATCTGTTTTTGCTTTAAATTTTATGCAACGGATGGCGCTTTAATCATTTTAAATAAGCAAAAACCTTATACGACATTATAGATGCATGTGATTCCTGAAGGCCAGTTACAATTTATATGCAGATGAGAGTGTTGCTGTTTTATAATTCAAAAGTTTAAGTTCATTAATTTGCCATTTAAAAACCTATCCACCGTGAAGTGTAATATCTCAGTAAGTAGATTTTTTTATAAATATTTAATGTATGTACAATTGTATTTTTAAAAAATATTAAGGTGTCAAAATTATTTCAAATATACAAAGGGATGTTTAAAAAAAAAACATACGAAATCCTAACCTCCGTGAATCTCTAATATTCAAAATGTAAGATTTCTTAAAATTCTTGCATTAGTGCAGAACCACTTATGTTATGTTATTACTAGACCTGGTGGCTTCCCAAAAACCCCATTATAGACTAACAGTGAAACAACCAAAAATAAAAAAGAATCATTTTCTCTATATATTATAATACCGGTTCTTGATATTTTACTGTTCAGTAGAGACTTTCTTAATCAACGCTTTTAATAATGCATAATGCAGTTTGAATTTAGACAACTTATTTGTTTGACGATTTACTGAATTAAAATGTTTACAATTTTCACGTAAATCATTACTAAAATGTGTATTTATTGTTTCTAATAGGTACAATTTATATTTACAGGGACAAATCGTGCTACGGTTTTTTTTCGATATTTTTAACATTTTCAGAATTTATTCACAAAAACACTCGTTTGTAACATACGCGTTTGACAGCCGCTTATTGAAAGCTGAATTCTGGTTACGATGTTAACGGCCACATGGTAGCGCTACTAGCTATGCTTCTTTAGCGTATTATAGCTGCGTATAAGATAATATTTATAAAAACAAATAATTACAAGAATAATTACCATTTGAATTTGTCAATAACGTGTTCTGGTATTAAATGTCCAAAAGACTCGGCCACACCAACATCAAATTGGCCGTGCTCTAATTTAATTGGCCATTCATGAAGTTTTAACTTATTTTGATTGGCGTAATTTTGAACTATTTCGCCATGTTTTGAAGTACAAACTTCTAGCTTGCGTAAAAGTCGACCACTTTTACTAAAAAAAAATATTTAAATTAAAAACTGAAATAAAAAATATCTTGCCTACAATTCGTTATGTAAAGCCTTCAGGGCAGGAAGGGAATAAGTATCGTTTCCAAAAAATAACAACTTCCACAAGGTTTTATTAGCGATACACATTTTCAAAAATTTTAGTAACATATGCTTAAATATAAATAATAAGTTCTAATGCACTAATTATAACTTATCAAATTACTGATAAGAGACCAAACTTTTATGCATTCAAAAAAGGCAGTAAACGCGTTTATTCAATTATTATTAAAAGTAAATTAAAATTCAATTTTAACACAACATAAATAATTTAAATTACAACAATAAAAACAGGGTGTCACCTAATAATTTGTCATCCTTTGGGGGAACAAAGTAATCAGTGATACCACAAATGTAAATTTTTAATAAATGTAGATTATTGCCCACTGTGCAAGCATATTTTGCATCAGGAACAACCAGTGGCGGCCCAAAATTTTTACTTTACTTTTAAAAATTTAAATGATTTTTTTATTAAAAAAAATGGCAGTAACGCAAAATTGATAGAGGAAAAACTTTCTCATTTTGGCGTGTACAATCATCCCCTTAAAGGATGACAACTTATTCGATGACACCCTGTATATTAACAAGATATATTTTATCACATTGCATTTTTTATCCTTTGTTGGTTTATTTGCCATTAAAGTAGAAAATAATAATTTTTTGGACATTCTTTTAAAAAATTTATTATTTATTTTATTTAACAATGGTCAGCGCTTCTGTGTTGGTTACAAAAAAGGTAAAAGCAATGATTGATTAAATTGCACTAAAAATGTCAAAAAAACATTTGCACACTAAAATTTATAATACCTAGCTATTTTGCCTAGAATTCGGTCTCTATTCATTATCTATATAAGATTATGACATATTTATAGATAAACTCACAATCCTTGTTGTGTGGATTGTGGATAAACTAAAAAAATTCTGAGTGATTTTAATTGGGTCTAGTTTTGGCCATGTTAGTTAAATTTAACTTCTTGGTTAATGTACCTTTTGGTTAAAAAGAAGTTAATATTTGGTAGTTTTTGGTTTATTTTACCCTTTTTTAACTACTTGTTAACTTAAAGTAAACTTAAACTATAATTAACCGGTTTAAGGTTATTTTAACTCTATATAACTATAATTTACCAAATATGGTTAGGTATGTATATCTATAGATATTACAGATCCTTAAAATAAAATGTCGAAAAAGAGATAGCTCCAAGGGAAAAACCAATGGGATATTTTTTTCTGATGAAGTAGTACAAAATACTTGCATAATTTAAATGCGCTTTGAAAAACTATGAAATAAAGAAAATAAAAATGTTGTTTTAAGTTAATTTAAAATAGTTTTAAACAAAAAATAATATTATATTTTATTATTGGTTTGTTGAAATTACCTTATTTTTGGAATACAACAAATTAATAAAATTAATGGCATATCCTTTAGTTAGAACGGACAGCAAACAATATGGGGATTTTAGGATGCTTTTACTTATTGGTTATAAAAACCAATATAAATTAACCTGCAAGTTTTTTTTAACCATTTTTTTATTTTATTGTGTTTAATTGCACTACTTTATCTCTATCGGTAATTTATTCGGTTAAAGTAACACCATTGATTAACAACTTCTTCACTCAACGGTAAAACATTATAAAAAACTCCCGCCGATCTTACGTTCTGATTTTAGTGGCAGCCCTGCTTTATTTTTATAAAACGAATCTGTTCTGTGATAAAACCTATAGATGCTTACCAAATTAATTAAATGCTAGGGGACTGTTTTAAGATTTGTAATTAATTACAACGTTACCAGTTTATTAATTAACCAGCGAGTTAAAGTATATTTGGTAAAATATAACTTGTTGGTTAAAAATATATATCCAAATTAACCAAGGCTGTGGTTAATTTACCAAAACTTTGTATCAAAAGTTAAACTAAACCAAAATATGTCTAAAAAAATAACTAGTCTTAACCATTTTCAAAGATTAAAATTAGAAGTATATATATCGTTATGTAACTTCTAAAATAACCTACTTTTTAACTAACTAGTTTAATATTTGGTTTTTTATAGTCAATTTAAACTCTTAAAATAAACTTTATTTATCTATAGGTAAATTTAGGTGTATTTCAAGAATAAATAAAAAAAATAAAGAACGATCCTTAATGAAAAAATAGGTCACAAATACGTATACAAATATTATTTATCTATAGGTAAATTTAGGTGTATTTCAAGAATAAATAAAAAAAATAAGGAACGATCCTTAATGAAAAAATAGGTCACAAAAAATACCTATATAACCTTGTATTTAGCACTACCTTTTTTTAATCGCAGTAGTCAGTGCACGTTAGAGTGCTTGCAATTGTTTAGTGACGTAATGGATGAAATTCGCCATACACTGACGTGCCGCCAGGGTTGCCAACTCTTGAGATGCACATTATAGTATTTTCTCAATTTAATTATAAGGTTCATTCCAACCAGCAGTAATTTCCAGTAATATTACTGATACACATGCGCGTTTGTAAAATGTCGTTCCAACCAACTAAAATTACTAGTTTAGAACTGGCAATTACTGTCAGTTCGTCGTTCCAACCAGAGTTACGAACAGTTAAATTACGGTTCAAACGATTCTTGCTCGAGAGCAAGAACTGTTGATAATAAAATTAGACGCATGCGTAGAAGGGGCACATAACCTCATCTTTTTGTTTATTTATTAACGTTTGTAATATTGTAAGTTTGTTTTCTGTTAAAGTGGACATATTATTTAAAAATGACTGCTATACAAGGTGATTTTATTAATTTTTAATGTTAATACATCTAATTTTTATCATTTGTGAGCAGGAATGGAAGAATTTATTATCAATGTGCGATGTTATTAAAATTTACTTTTATATATATTTATAAACTCAACAAACCTGGGTTATATTTATTTCTAGTAGCAATGTCCCCAATAAAATCTAAATCCTCGTCATCCGAAGAATCATACAAGTAATTATTTAAAAAACCTGCCATATTAATATATATATATAATAAATTTATTACTTTATTGAAATAGATATACCTATATGCGCTTTACTTAGCTTTTAGCACAATACAATTGTGGGTTTTAGGTTATATTCTTTTTCTTCTGATTGTGAGTACTACTAGTTCAAAAAAAGGTTCCAACCAGTTTATACATTATTCAAAATAATTTTACTATTTTTGTTCGCGCAGTCGCATTAACGCTGTTACGGACGATAATATTACGGTAATATTACTGCTGGTTGGAATGAACCTATAGTATTTTAAAAAAAAATTATAGTACAGATGACATATAGGTTTTTGAGAAGCAGGAGCCCACATTTTTTCCCCTTTTTTACCAATAGACTAGAAGTTAAAATTTTAATAAAGAAAGCTTTTTTATTATATTATATAATATTATTATCTATTTTCAAAAAACGTTTGTTGTGACAATAACTCCAATTTCAAAGATACATACCTTTATTATACAGGCTACACTGAAAGAAATATATGTTTATTTTAGCAATGTATGTGGTAGTCCATATATGAAACATAAAATATATTTACCTTAACCATTTTTATATTTAGTTTTAACATAATATGGTTAAGGCAAATATATTTTATGTTTCATATATATGGACTACCACATACATTGCTAAAACAAACATATATTTCTTTCAGTGTATATATAAAAATTGTTAAACTACTCAAAATAGCGTAGAATATAAATATTCTCTTATTGGCGACACTGCTGTGCAATGTTGCCATCCCGTAAAAGATGAACGGGAATCTATAAACAGCACTACGGTTTTGGTATTGTTCATCTTTTACAGGAGGAAGGGAATCTATAAATCAGGCTGTAAACGCATCGTTTTCAGTGCTACTTCCCGAACTATAAATTGTAAAAATTGGGTACCGCTCGCTACTCCAACTCTTCTTCTTTTTGGCCTTTAGTTAATTACAAACTATTTGGCCAGCTCATATTTATTATATATGATTGACATTTCTCTCCAGTGCCGCTAACTTTTTGTTTTTTTTAACTAAATTTCTTCAAACTTGTTTAGTCCACTTTTATTTATAAAATCGCCTTTGATTTTAACTTTCAGGAAATTTAAATAGTTTTTTGTTGCTTAAAATCAATATATCAATATATTATAATATATTATATAGTTCATTGATTTTAAAATGAGATGAAACTTGTTCTTTTTTAAAGATCAGTTTGGTCAGTGGTCGTAGGTCGAAATTTTGTTTAGATTTTTGTAATTTTTAGTTTAATATCTACAATTTTTGTGTTAAATATTTTCAACAAAGATATCAACCGATAAGAATAAAACAGTTTCTTATTTAAGATTTTATTTTCAAAACGTCGAAACCCTAATTACTCAAAATAGTGCGTAATTTTTGGAAACTATAATCGAAATTACATTATTTGATTATTAATAAAATAATAAATAACAAATACGTATACAATTAAGAAATTCGTCACGCTTAAGAGCCGTTTCACATGCGACTGATAAAGTCCTGACGATCAGTCCTGATGGTCAGTCCTGATGACTAGGGGCCATTGTTTAAATAAACTTTTTCACATGCACTGCGTATCATCGGTTGACTGATTCGTCGGCACGGGCATCGGGACAGCCCATGCGCACTGCGTACCGTCAGGACTATTAAGGGCTGTTAGTTATATGGAGTATTTCATATGGTACGTACAGTCAGCAGAAACAGTGTTGCACAATAAGTAGTTTACGCATTGATACAGAAATTGTAATAAGTAGCATCGAACAGCGAAGATGCATCTGGTATGCAGATGATGAGAACTATAAAAAAAGGGATGCAAAGAACAAAGCATTTGAAGAAGTAGCGGAAATAGTAGTTCCGGATTTTGAAAATTTAGCGGAAGCAAAAAAGAACTTTTAAAATTTTGCGTTGTATTATTCTCTTTATACAAAAAGCGGCAACAGCGCAGTTCTGGAGGCGCTGAGAACCGTCTCGTAGTAGACAGTTCCGTACTATACGTTGCTTGTGAAACAATGGCCATGACCGTCAGTCCGTATCATCCGGACTGATCGTCAGGACTTTATCAGTCGCATGTGAAACGGCTCTAACGTAATATATTAATCGCGCAGGTCTGACTCACCCTCTTTT